AAAGCTCGGAGGAGTGGAACCGTTTTCTCTCCCACCTCCTCATCGGTTAGGGCAGGGCGCCATCAGGGCCATGTCGTCTCGCAACTTTTTGAGTTCGTCGAATACTTTGGCGAGTTGGCCAGTATGGTCCTCAAGAGCCCGGACGTCTACCAAAGCCCGGAGGAGTGGAACCGTTTTCTCTCCCACCTCCTCATCGGTTAGGGCAGGCAAGGTACAGAAAATGGCTTCATAAGCCTTCACCTTCTCCTCCCTCTCCGTCTCTTTCTCTTCCTCCTCCCTCTTCAATGCTTTTTCATAGAAGAAACGGTACTGCGCTTTCTTTGCCTCAGGGGCAGCGTCCATTTGCAGCTTCCAATCTGCTGCAGATGCCATGATGGAGGGCGAAGGAATCAATACGTCTCTCAAGAGAGGTCCGTACTTCCTTACTTGTCTGAGACGAACACTCCTCTTCCCTCTCCTCACTCCCTCAAGAGCAACACTCATAAACTTTTCTCTTCTCTCTCTCTCTCTCTCTCTCTCTCTCTCTCTCGTTTGTGATCGTGTAGACGCAGACATTTAATGAACCCAATGAAAGAAACAGCTTGAATCAGTCAGAAAGGAAGGTAGAACTCCTAGCCGGAGCGACAATTCATTTGGACTGGAGAGCAGTCAATCAAAAAAAAGAAGATCAGAGAGATCTGATCCAGCCACACAGTCTGGACCGACTACGTATGGGGTCCTCCCAAGCCTAGCCAGACTCAACTCCGTGAAGACACAACAAATCAGATTCAAAGTGTACAGCGTAATGCAAGAGAGAATTGAGTGGTGTCCAAGGTGGGAGTCAGGCGACGGATCGTGCGGTAAAGTCTGATAAAACGTCCCAGCGGAGATCCCCTCCGCAGCGAGTGTCCTGGTCCGAAAGCATAAAGTCCGAGTCCCAATCAGATAGAGCAAGGTAACTGACGTCAACAGATTTGGCCTGAGGGGCCCTTCTTGTTTGGGCCCGGTCCCACTGAGTCCCAAACGGTCCCACTGGAGTTAGAACCGGGTCCTAACCAACAAGAGTTCCACAAAGACCTACTCTGTCCCTACCAAATTGAAAAACGGAATTTCGCCCCAGAAAGAACCTGTAGACTACAACCGTTCAAAATGAAATAAACAAAGCACTGTAGAGAGATATCACATGGCAAACAAGATACTCCATTCATTCACTCGTCAGGTAAGTAGGCAGTTCACACACCTCACACACAATCAAGACTATGGAGGATGGAAGAAGAACCCAGAGAAACTCAACAGGCAGTCAATTCCATGCACACACACATGGGCACCCTGGTGGCACGACACTGACCTGAGTGGTCGGGCTCTTGAGATGAAAAAGAACTCACCCCCCTCTCACATAGTCCTCCTGACCCAATTAGCATCCTCTACACTAGTGTCCTATCATCTAGGAGGGTCAACATCTACCCCAGAGTACAAAGCCAGAACCCCCGTCAATGTTGAAGATCAAAGCAGCAATTTACAGTCCGTAGGTGCAGATATGGCTGCCACCCTCAAGCTCGCCTGATTTGAGGGGAGCCCTAAAGTCACTCCTCGTCTTCCTTGAAGTCCAGATTCAAGTTGTAGGTGCCCTTCACTGTCGCCTCTCTCAAATTGCATCACGAAGTCACACCTTGTGTCTCGCCACCACAAACATGCACGCAAACAACCTGGCCGGGTCTAGTGTCGACCCTACACGGCCCTGACAGGTGGGAGCAACTTCCCTTAACCACGCTGCCCCACTTAACCCTAACTTCCAGCCCTAACCCTAAGTGGTTAGCCCTTACTACTAGGGTTAGGGTTATGGCAGCAAAGTCAACTCTCGCCAGCAAGTAGAATCCGCTCCGATACCAATGTTACGATCCTGGCCAAATTCGAAGTAAACATTCATCTGAAAGTACAATGCCATCCAATTGCAAAAAGAAATGAATGAACTTGAGAGGAAAGAGAGGGAAAGAAGAAAAAGAAGAAGTGAGAAAGAAGAAGTGAGAAAGAAGAAGTGAGAAAGAAGAAGATGATGTACTCCAGCATAGACCAATGTCAAGGCTCTTCTTCTTCACCAACCAATCCCTTCCTCTTATCTCCTCCCTCTTATTCAAACAAGAAATAACAATAATAATGTTGAATGACTCAACCAGAATCAATGTCCGAATCCCACTTCTACTGCAGACACAAGATGAGGTCCACCATAGCCATGGCAACCCTTCCTCTTCCTCTACATACAGGGCGAGGCTATGGTGGACTACTGAGGCTTCAGCCTCCTATCCAAAGGACAACCCCAAGCAGCTATGCCGCTGCCCCACTTCAAGGTCGTCACCATGCAGCTATGCCACTGCCCACTCAGCCACCATGCCTGACTCTGTCCCGAGCTTCCTTGATGCGGCACTAGCCCAACGGGGGCCTTCCTGGTGTAGCGCCTAGCAAGGAGATGAAGATGGTGTCTACAATAGCCAGGTAAGTGCCTCGCCACTCTCCTCCTTGGTCCCCTTCTCCCTCCTCCTCCTACCTGTAGAGCTCCACCATAGCCGAGGTGGAAGCTCCCGGCTTCTTCCTCCCAGCAACGTTGTAGTACCCAGTGCTACTCCAGCCAGCGCTCCAGCAGCTTGTCGCCAAACTTGCACACTGAAGAATGAGGCTGGGCTCTCCGCCCGGCCTCTTGATATAGCGGCCTGCTTGCCTCGTGGGCGTGACTTCCAGACCGCTCGGCCTCTCGAAGCAACCGGTACTTCCTCCGTTTCGGAGGGAAACATCATTGTAGACCCTGATATTACCCGTACAGGCTCTAGACTCAGACTGGTTGGACTGGTACCGACCTAGACCTACCCTGCCGCTACTGRACTCTAAAAATGCCAACTTTGTCTTCTTCTGCTCGGCCTCCGGTACCCCTTCAAGCCAACTGCAGTGGGGTGCAGTTTCGGCGTACCTGCGTACTTGAGTGTTTTTCCGCTATCCCAAGGGCCGCGGGGCCTCTAGCTTCGTCACTTGAGTGTTTTTCCCTGCTACAACCCTCAATGCCACGGCCACATGTAAGTACCGGCCCTACGGGCCTGCCAAACAAACAAGTACCCTTGCGGGTCACACACACTCATACCGACAAGCACTCAGACAGGCACGTAGGTCACAAGTACGCACACACAGACAGACTTAGAAAACACAACAGAATGCGAGAATCTCAACAATGCATCCATTCCATCAGCAGAACTTCAGAAATCAGCAGTGTTCTCAGTCTGTGTTATGACGGGTCATTACACTTTTAAAGAAACAAATCAGTTTCCCTCTCGGCGCTCAATGCTGCCCCCAACCATGGACGGAGAAGTGGATATCGATGATATCGTGGACCACAGGGAGCTGTCAGCGCCAAGACCAACAGGCACTGGACGTCCACCGAAACCGAAGCTGCAGTACCGCGTTCCGTTCCGGCATCACACTGATCCGAAGGAGGACCGCTGGTTCACCAGGGAGGAACTCATGCAGACCGCTCGGCAAGTTGTAGCCCACTACGAGAGATCTTTGCAGAAAGGAAAGCGCCCTATGGTTGAAGATTGAGCTTCTCAGAGGACTGTTGAAGCTAAGGAGGAGGGAATGCGAGGCCACTGCGTCTATGAGCCCCATTCGGCCCCTTTTTGAAGCCTGTCGGCCGCCCTAAGTGAAGGCAGGCTCGACGAGGCCCTCAGGGCTTTATTTCGGCCACTGCGCAACTAAGGAAATTCAGGCAGTTGCGCAACGCCAGTTGGTTGAGAGAACCCAGGCCCTGGGCCGCCTGTGTGAATGTATGCAAAGCAGGCCCTGGGCTGGATACGGGGACTGGGCCAAAGGCAGTTGGGTGCATACAACCACCTCAGGCCCCAGGCCTGTTGTCAGTGGGCTGAGGAGGAGCAGTGAACCCAGCACAACGAGCACGGTCATAGGCTTGCACCAACATGCGAGCGTGCTGCAAGTGCTCAAGGGGCTTCCAGGTAGCCTCCTCATCAGGGTAACCCTTCCAACGTACGAGATACTTGACGTGAGGAGGGTTGTCGTCGGTGACCCGGCGACCAATGATGTCGGAAACGAGGAACTCCTCGTGGCCATCCACCATGATGGGTGGAGGGCGCTCGTATGGTCGTCCAGCGAAACGCTCAGACGGTCTGCGATAAGGACGCAGTAACGAGACTTGGTAGACATCGTGCAAACGAGCCTGGCGTAGGTAGTCGGGCAGCTTCACACGGAAGCTGACCGGGCTAGAAGACGTATCAGAACCGACGGCCTAGAGGATGCGGCATGGGCCAAAGAAGCGACGCCGAAACTTGCGAAGCGTGTCCGCTTCGAGCTGTAAGTGGCGGGTGTCGATAAGCACATCATCACCGACTTTGAATGCGGTTCGCACGTGCTGCCATGCGAGTCTGGGAAGCGGCTATGTGCTCATGTGCGGTCTTCATTATCGACGTCATGTGTGCAACCCAATCATCCAGCGCGGGACAACTCGTGTTGGGGTGCATCTGTGATGGTCGAAGGAAGTCCGCGGGAACACGAGGGTGATAGCCGAGATCGCAATAGTAAGGCGACATCCCCGTGGCTGGCGAGACGGCGTGGTTGTAGGCTATCTCCGAGTGGGCAAGATGGAGATCCCACTGCTGGTCGTCACGAACAATCTTTCATAGAATATCTCCGAGAGTTCTGTTTGTGATCTCGGTCTGACCATTAGTCTGGGGATGGTAAGACGAGGAGAAGCGGAGCTGAGTGTCGTACACCTCGTGGAACCGTCGCCAGAATCGACTGGTAAAGTGCGGGTCACGGTCAGATATGATGCTCAAAGGTAAGCCGTGGTCACGCACGACTCGGTCAAACATGATGTCGGCGACCTCACGTGCACTGATGGCATAGCGGCACGGAACAAAGCATGCACGTTTCGTGAAGTGGTCGACGATGACCAGAATAGCATTATGACCGTGAGGGGTCGGAAGACGAAGAGGACCGATAAAGTCCATCGAGATGGACTGCCAACGACCCTCGGGTATAGGAAGAGGCTGAAGCAAACCAGAAGGCAAGTGGTTCGCAATGTTCACCTCCTAACAGGTGGGACACTCTGCGCCTTAGTCCTTCACAAAGTCCTTGCGCTTCGGCCAGACGTACAGGCGGCTCACACGAGCCAACGTCTTGTGGAAGCCCATATAACCGGCTGCTGCCTGGTCATGGAACTCTGCTACTGCTCGGACACGTAGCTGTCCAGTGGAGGGAACGCAAATACGGGGCTCTCTGGTGCCCTGTGAACTGTGCAAGTACACGAGACCGTTGTCCCCGAGAGAGTAGTTTGGGACGGTCTTGCAACTCCAAAGGGTCGCGTGGATGTCGCGATAGTCGGGGCAGTGGTGGTACTGAGTGCGAAACTCCTCGATCATCGAGTGGTGGATGGTGGTGATCGAGATGGAAGAGAGCTGGATCTGCTCCTGGTCGTGGTCAGGGCGACGGGATAAGGCATCTGCGACCCGATTAGTCTCACCCTTGATGTGCTCGGTGGTGAAACTAAACTCGGATAGATCGCGCCACCAGCAAGCCTGTCGGGGAGTGGGCTTCGGTTTTGTCAGAAAAGCCTGGATAACAGAGTTGTACGTGCGCACCGTGAATGGTGCCCCGTGCAGGTAGTGACGCTAGTGTCGAGCGGCATAAACTACTGCGAGAACCTCACGTTCATCAACGGTGTAGTTTATCTCGGTAGGCAAGAGCTGATGGGAGTAGAAGGCTATCGGACAATCACCTGAGCGAGACTCGACAGTTCCGTCCTCGGCGATGGTAGGAGAATAGTCAATAGAAGGCTTGTCTGTAGCTGGACGAGTAGGCGTCAGTCGGGAAGTAGTGGTAGGGGTAGGTGGTGGGAAGCAAGGGATACGAGGATGAGAGGAATCAAGAGAGGAGGGGAAAACCTGAGAAAGCATTGCTCCTACAACAAAGTCTGACGCATCGGTGGTAAGGATAAAAGGGTGGTCAAAATCGGGTAGGTGAAGAACCAGTGCGCATGTCATCGCCTTCTTGAGGGCGCGGAAGGCGTCCTTGTGGAGGGGTGTCCAAGCCCAGGGTGGGTTCTTCCGGAGGAGGGTGGAGGTAAGGACGTAGGAATACCTAGCGTATCCCTGAATGAAATTACTATAATAGCTTGTCAGGCCTAGGAAGCTGCGAAGCTGCTTGGCGGATGTGGGAGCGGGCCACTCCGCAATAACACTGATCTTCGCGTCGTCCATGTGGAGACCCTGGTCAGACACGTAGTGTCCTAAGAAATCCACTTTGTGTTGCGCAAAGCGACATTACTCAGCTTGGCGTAAAAGCTATGTCTGCGCAAGTGGTCAAGGACGTCGCGGAGGTGTCTGAGGTGCTCCTCAAGGGTACGACTGTAGACCAGGATATCGTCGAGGTAGACGAGAACGTACTGCTCCAGGATGTCCCTGAAGATATCGTTCATCGCCCTCTGGAAGGTAGCGGGTGTGTTGCTGAGGCCGAATGGCATCACCGTGAACTCGTAGTGGCTGAAGCGCGATCGGAACGTTGTCGTCGGTTGGTCGGCTGCAGCGCCGCGGATCTGATGGTAACCGCTACGAAGATCAATCTTCGTAAAGAAGCGGTTGCCTGCTAGGCGGTCGAACAGCTCGTCGAAACGAGGCATGGGGTAGCTGTTCTTAACCGTGTTGTGGTTGAGACCGCGATAGTCGATGGAGAGACGGAGAGAGAGCTCCATCTGCTTTGCGAGCAAAGAGGACGGGTGCACCCCATGGGGAGTTGCTGGGTTTAATGAAACCCAGTCTCAGGAGCTCCTCAAGCTGACGCTCGAGTTCGGTGGCCTCGGGGATCGAGAGTCTGTAGGGTGCCTGGTCGTGAACACGATAGTCAGGCACAAGCTGGATGGAGTGCTCGACGTCGAGCATCGGTGGGATGCTGGCGCACGAGAACGACGAGGGGAAAACGTCATGGTACTCTCGAATGAGGTCACAGACTGCGGGCTCCAGGTCAGCTGTATATCGTGCGAGTTCCTCAGCGTCAGCGTCAGCTCGTGACGGAGGGGTGGACTCGACGGACGGCGGAGGGTGGGAAGTAGAGATGGGAGCCATGGAGATGGAAGGAGGATTTGGCTCCAGAGGGATGAGCTTGACGTCGGGACAGGGTGGATCATAGTGTAAGAGATCGGTCACGTCCACCATAAAGAAGGTGGCGTCGTTCTGTCGGATGAAGTGGGCGAACTGTCGAGGCGAGGTGACGGTGATAGAAGGGGATGGTGTGGGCACGGAGGGTTATGGGGGAGGAGGATCAGGGTGTGGTGTCGCAGTGGTACCTATGAAAGGTACGCGATATGTTTGTCCACACTTCGTTTTGAGAACGAGAGTGTTGGTTGCCCAATCGGCCTCGGTGCTGCGGAACCGACGAGACCTTAGAGTGCCGAGAATGAAGTCGTACCCTATCTCCATCACATCGAAATGTGCAGAGGAGCGGTGGCGATGAGACGCCGGGGAACGATCAGTCGACTCGAGAGTGAGGAAGAAAGCGAGGTCGGTGACCGTCTGATCGAAGAAGCGCTGGGTCTTGTCATCCCCTAGGGTAACGGAGATGGGAGTTGGAGACCCTGTCGTGGGTAAGCGGGCTTCTTTCACCACGCGTGGGTGAATGAAGTCGCCCTGAGAACCGGAATCCCACAGCGCTGAGTACACCCTCGTGGAGGTCCCGAGTCGTAGTGGGATGATCGGGAGGGTGCGATCAGGGTCAGAGAGGATGGCGAGAAGGCGACGCAGTGCAGCGACATGGAGGGTGAGTCGCTCTTGACGAGCCTGGAGCATGTTGAAGTCCAGAAGAGATGACACAACGTCCTCGCGAGTAGCGAGCTGCTCGCTACAACAGGCTGAGCGAATGGCTCGACGCGTCGGTAGTCGCGGCGGGGAAGGAGGGGAGACGGTGGTCTGCGGAGGCGCAGACGGTACTGCGACAAAGGGCTAAGTGCACTCTGTCGGGTCCTACGAGACCTCAACTCCAGTAGCGAGAGGGAGCAACGACGACGGGGATGTCGGGAAGCCGACTACTCAGGGGGGCGCAGGTGTACACTGCACAGTGGTTAGGAGGCGCCGCGGGGATGAGAGGCGTCGGGGGGGGACTGAGCACGACGCTGGCGGGAAAAGTCAGCGTAGTGGCGGTCGAGGGCGGTAGTGTAAGGGCAGCGCGAGGAGGTATGACCATCCAAGCAGCAGCGCAAACACCCACGCCAGCCCAAAATGGTCGCGCGCTCCTCGACGGAAAGGACACCGCGAGGAGGGATAAAGCCCTAGGGAGGTCCTGTTGAGGGACCTCGGGGGGCGCGCCAGCGTGACCGGGGCGGCTGCGTGCTCGGGAGAGGGCGAAGAGGATGAGCTGGAGGCGCTCAACCATAGGAAGAGTAGAGTCCTCCAGGTGGTGGTGGACGGCCTCGCCGAGGTTGAGGTCGTCGCTATGGTCACCCTCTGGCGACAGCGGAGCACCAACGTCCTGCTTACCATACTCGAGCGCGCTGAAGCGGCGCGAGAAGTGGCGGCCCTGCTGCGCGGAACGGCGGGGGCGACCACAAAAGGGGGAACGACGTTGGGAAGTGTCGTGAGAGGAGGAGGAGGTGTAGCCTGTGCGCTGAGGCTGGGAGGAGGAGGCGGGGTGAAGACGGGCTCACATCTGCTGATGGTCCCTGGCGGCCTCGTAAGCCTGCGAGGCCGATGAGAACTCGTACCGCCATAGCTCGGAGCGGTACTCAAGCGGAAGGCTGGCCAAGAAATGATCGATAAGGGCAGCCTCGGGGAGGAACGCCACGTCACAAATGAGGTGGGCGTCCTGAAAGACCTGGATGTGGGCGATCCAGAGTGGCAGCGCCACCAAAGCCGGACCAACGTGTAGTGACGACACGCTCGAACGTGTCAGTCACGTCGTATCGGGCTCCGAAACGATCCTCGAGGAATGCCTGGAAATCCATGAAGGTCGGAGTCCAACCCTCACGAAGGGAGTAAGCGTAGAAATCATCCCAGGCGTCGAAAGGACCGCCACGCAGGCGTGTGGAGAGGTGACCCACCCACGTGTCGGGTGTGGCGCCCATGGGCTGGAGCAAGCGGGTGCCACATTGCAACCACCGAGACACGTGTATGCCTGTACCGTCATACAGGGCAATGTCCGACAAGCGGACGAGTGGTGCGCCACCGTTTTGGCGACGAGGGGATCGAGGAGCAGAGGCCTGTGCCACGGGTGAGTAAGTCAGCGCAGGTCCTGGAGAAAGGGGCGTTGCTGACTGTGCGCCCGGGCCGCATGGGGGAGCGGCGGGGGCAACTGCGGCAGGCTGCGAGGGAGCTGCGGTAGAAGAGGTCGCAGCAACCGCGGAAGTAGGAAGAAGGTAGGATGAAGCTGGATAGGGTGCAGGGCGCGGGAAGCGAGCCTGCATGGGAGGAAGAGTAGAGGAGGTAGGGGGTGCGCTCGAGGGTGCGGCCACCTGTGAGGGTGGGGGTGGCTGAAGGCGTAAGAGGGCGAGGTCGGCCCGGAGCTGGGCAATCTCGTCCGCAAGACCTCGAATGTAGGTCGAGCGAGGAGTGGCAGGAGGAAGAGTGGAGGAAGTGGACGCACAAGCGGTGCGGGGCATCCCAGAGGGGGGAGAGTTAGGTGGCGCTGCGGTCGTGCGAAGGGAAGGGAGAAGCGGGGCACCCGGAAAAGCTGAGACCATGGTAGCGGGTTGTGGTCCCGTGGCCGTCATGACCGGAATCTGGGCGGGTGCGCCCGTGGACTGAGGGAGGGCCTGGCTCGTGGCGGCCGTCGTGCTAGGGGCGTGGACAGTCACCAAGATGGCTGGTTCGGGGGCAGCGAAGGAGGAAGCTCCGCCGTGGCCACCCTGTCGGAAGACGGGGGACCCGGACTGGGAGCGAGGAGATGAAGGACATGCAGCGTCCTAGAGTTGCTGCATGCAGGCGGCAAGGGTCGCCACCTGCGCCTGTAAGGGCGCGAGGGTCGCGAGTTGCACCTGGATGGGCGCAAGGAGGGAGGTGAGGAGGGTGTGGAGATCCCCCTTGGGCTGGTGGCCCTGGTCCGTCGGCACAGGTGTGGAGCCCTGTGTCGTGGTCGTCGCCGCGTCGTCGGCGTGTGACACACCGTCGGCCATGGGGAGGTGACGGGCCGGACTGGAGGGGGCCAGGAGAGGTTCGCGTGAGCGGAGGGCGTAGGGGGGGGGTCCGCGATAGAAGGCGGCGGACGGCGCTAGCAAGGCTGGCGCGGGCGACGTCAAAGGGGGAGGGGTGGTTTGGGTCCAGGGTGCCCGAATAGGAAGGGGAGTAGGGGGGGGTTTGAAGAACCCTAAACCCTAGAAAAACCCTAACCGGACTTTGAGTGGTTAGGGTACGGTGCCGGTGACCTAATCAAGAAAATAAAATAGCAAGCATAGGGGGGGGGGAGGCGGGAGAAAAATAAATAAACAGTGAGATTTCGAGAGAAAATAAAAATAAATAAGGAAATAAATAAATAATAAAAATAATTAAAGAAATAAGTAAAAAGATGTGAAGAGAACAAACAATATTTATTTTTTAAAAATTTTCGGCAACATTTCCTTACCCCCCATGTGGTCAAGAATGTGCCAAGGGGAAAGGAGAGACCAAGGTGAGCACACTAGGTTTCAAGATGCCGCAAATAAAAAAGAGAAATTTCAGAAAATAAATAAAGAAATAATAAATAAAGAAATAAAAAAATATAAATAAATAAATAAGTGGATGAGGAAGGGGAGAGAAATGGAGTATCTGATTTTTCAAAAATTTTGGCAGCATTTCGTTACCCCCATGGGGTCAAAGTGTGCCGAAAAAGACTAAGTAAGAGAAAATCAGAAAATTTTGGCGGCACTTCGTTACCCCCACGGGGTCAAAACGTGTGCTGAAAGCAAGAAAGACTAACACCTAATCAGATTTAGGGTTGCCGCAAAGAAAATCGAATTTTCAGAATAAATACAAAAATTAATAAAATAAATCAGAAAATGAGAAAAGAAGGTGGGGAAGAAGATAATTCGAATTTTTGGAAAAAAGAGAAAGGATAAATCAAAAGAGAGATAGAAAGAAGAAAAACAGAAAAAAATTGAAGTAGGGGGGAAGGGGAATGAAAAAGTGAAGGAGAAAAGAAAGAAATAGGTGGGAGAGAGAAAAAAATGGAAGTAGAAGGTGGGGGGATGATGTGGTGGTAGTTGGGGGAGACGAGGGTTGGGGAAAGGTGGAGAGGGATCAAGAAGCAAGGAGAAAAGGAGGAAAGAAAGGAAAAGAAATAAAGAAAGGAGAGTAAAAGAATGGGTGGTGGGAGAAAGGTGGGGTGGGGAAGGTAAAAGGAGGAGAGAAAAGATGCAGTAGAAGGTCGGGGAAAGAGAAGGGGTGAGTAATAGGAGAGAGGAGAGGTAGGGAGAGTGGGTTAGTGGAGGAAGGGGAGAGAGAGAAGAGATACCTGGCCCTTGGTGTCTCCAAGGGCACAAGGTACACCAAGACCAGGAGGGTCTTGGCCTTCGCTGCAGCAGCCAGCTGGAGGAGAGAGGGGGCTGAGATCTTGATCAGCCCCCAGCAGCAGCAGTTCTGCAGATCTGCAGATCTAGGGTCTGCTGTGTGAGCAGACCCTCACCTGTGTAGAGCAGCCCCTGAAACAGGGGGTCTTCAAGTCCACAGTAAGCTGCCATGTGGCACTGCAGGGGGCCACGTGCATAGGCAGCAGCAGCCAACAGGGGGGGGGGGGTTAAATAGCCAGCACGGCACCTCTTCAACACGAGTGTGCCGTACTACAAGGACATCTACACTCTGTGGCGAGTGTGTTATCAGGGTGCTTACGCACGCGCATGGCCCAGCAGGCGCCTGGGTTCAAACCCCAGCAGCAGCAAAACTCCTGGATCTTGATAATATAAATCCTGGAGCGGAGTGGGGCGGGGCAGCATGGGCGCGTGGTTCGCGCGCGTGCGGCGGTCTTGGCCTTGAGGCGCGCGCGCACGCGCTTGTAGTGTCGCCTGCTTTTTTCGCCCCGTGCCACCTCCCCGCAGGCGCTGCTTTTTCCCCTCGTTTTCGCTGCGAATCACCCGAAAAACAGCGAAAAAACCCGCTGTCGGGATTGTTGTTTTCCCGGCTGTACGGGGTGCTGGCCAGCTGTACAGGGGGGTGGGTGGGAGCGGGGAACGTTCCCGCTCCGATACCAATGTAGCGGACCCACCAGGCGTGGTGCTCCGCTAGGGATGATGATGGAGATGGAGGATAAGGGAGGAGCGATATAGCACAGCGCAGCTCCCACGCAAGACTCCAGCGCACGTACTCCAAAACTGTGCAACTGCAGAATGCTGGCGAAAACAGACAACTGCTGGGGTATACCCCAGCGGACTGACGGGACTGGACTGACTGGCTGGTACCGACAGAGGTACCGGCCTGGACTGGACTGCCCCGAATAGAACACATGCCTGTGAGAACAGGCCAAGGGGCTGGTCTCACAGGCCAACCAGAGGTCCGCTACACTTTACCAGCATTGTCAATTATGAGCTCTTGGTGTCTTCTTATTTGGTGAAACTCGTGATGCAATTCTGCTGTTGGTTCGAGGTCACGACTATCTGGTCTTGTGTATATGATGCTGTTTGATTGCTGAAGTTCCCTATTGCTCATCTTCCTTGCAAATAGAGAGAGAGAAGGCGCTACTTTAACCCGAAAACAAGGTACGCACCTTGTACACAAATACAAGGTATGGGGTACCTTGTATTCAAATGCATGGGACGTAGCTTGTAAAATGAATTTTAGGGTAGCCATTGTCTCCTTTTGCTCTAGAGGGGAAGGGGGGGAAGAGAGAGAAGGCTCTAATTTTAACCCAAAAACAAGGTACGTACCTTGTACACAAAGACAAGGTATGGGGTACCTTGTATTCGCATACATGGGACGTAGCTTGTAGAACGAATTTTAGGGTGCAACTTTCCTAAGGTAAAGGGCAAAAAAATAAAAATAAATATACAGTTAATATTATTAATAATAGGGAAAATTTGTCTCGTGCCCCTGTAATTTGCGTTATTTCCTGTCGCGCCCCTCCGACGGGCGATTTACCTTGTCGCGCCCCTCTGAGCAGGGTTCAAATTTTCCATAAGACCCCCGTGTCGTTTGGGCCTCAAATCTTTTCGTTAAGCCCCTACCGGTACCGGTCCCTAATTTGCGGGATGCCCCTACCGGATGGCCGTTAAGAGCCAGCAGGAAAATTTTCGAGATGCCCCTACCGGTACCATTTGCTGCCAAGCCATTTGCTGCTATGTCATCCGCTGCCATGTCATCTTCTGCTACGTCTTCTGCTGGCAGTCCATTTGCTACCAAGCTGCCACCTCGTCTTATGCCACGTCATCTGCTGCCAATCCATTTGCTACCAAGCCATTTGCTGCTATGTCATCGTCTGCTGCCTCATCAGCTGCTGTCATGGCATGTGCTGCCAAGAGGGCGTCCGCTGCCAAGTCGTCCACAACTGCCACATCTTCTAATGCTTTCCTAGATGCAGGGGCGGCTCCCTCTTCCGACAAACGAAAGGATGTTAGTGGTGGATAGTCTGAGTCAACGACGAGGGCAACGGCGACCTCGATGAATGCAAAGGCGGGAAAGAAGAAGTCTGGGACGAAAATCAGGGGGCGGGCGTTGGCTCTTGCAAGTGAGTATCTCGTCTCATCCGAAGGTTACGATCTATGGAAGAAGATAAGGAAGGAGGAGAGGGGTGTTGTGATGGCGCTGCGCGCCTATGGCTGGTTGGTGGACTGTACAACGTTTCAGCCCTCTCTCTCACTCTCTCTCTCTCTCTCTCTCTCTCTCTCTCTCTCCTGCGGTTGGTTTATCAAAGTTCCGAAGCGTACGGTCATGATGGCCGTGTCTAAAATGACAGTTGGCCGTGTGTACAATGACAGTTGCCCAAAATGCAACTATAATGACCGTGATTTTAATCATGGCCATCATGACCGTACGCTTCAGAACTTTGATAAACCAACCGCGCGCGCGAGAGAGAGAGAGAGAGAGAGGGTGAAGATGGTAGGTATCTTACATGATACATGAAGGAGAAACGCATGGAACAGGAGGACCGTTGTACATAAAAATTGTGGAGAGAGAGAGAGAGAGAGGGTGAAGATGGTAGGTATCTTACATGATACATGAAGGAGAAACGCATGGAATAGGAGGACCGTTGTACATAAAAATTGTGGGGAGAGAGAGAGAGAGAGAGAG